AGATTTACATGAAGAGGTCTACATGGAGTTACCTCCTGGTTTGGCTGCAACAGGTGACAAGATAGTTTGTAAAATTCTGAAAAGTTTATATGGTCTAAAGCAGGCTTCCAGGCAGTGGTTTGCTAAGCTATCTAGTGCCCTCCTTCACTATGGCTTTGTCAAGGGCGCCTCTGATTGCTCCCTATTCATCAAGAAAACTGATCACTCTTTTATTGTCAACGATTAGATACACCTACTACAGCTTTTGGCAAGTGACTGCATCCTGGAAATTCAGAGTTTGAAAACCTTTTTACACGACAAATTCACCATTAAAGACTTAGGGCAGCTGAAATACTTTCTTGGTTTGGAGGTTGCACGGTCCAAATCTGGTATCTCCTTATGCCAGCGAAAATATGCCCTTGATATCCTCCAGGACAGTGGTTTAGCTGGCTCAAAGCCAGCTGCTTTTCCCATGGAATCCAATCTCAAGTTATCTGCCCATGACACAGAATTATATGATGATCCTTCTGGTTATCGACGATTTGTTGGTAGATTATTGTACTTAACTATCACAAGGCCCGACTTAGCCTTTTCTGTCCAGGTGCTTAGTCAATTTCTTGCTACCCTTGCCGTTACTCATCATAAAGCTGCACTTCGAGTATTGAGATATCTAAAAGCTACACCAGGTCAAGGACTCTTCTTCTCCTCTTCCTCAGATTTGCAATTAAAGGCTTTCTCCGATAGTGATTGGGCGGGTTGTGTTGATACTCGGCGAAGTGTCACTGGTTTTGCGATATTTCTTGGTCGCTCACTGATCTCATGGAAATCAAAGAAGCAGATCACCATCAGTCGTTCATCAGCAGAGGCAGAGTATCGGGCACTTGCGACAACTACTTGTGAAATTCAATGGCTCCTTTACGCCTTGCAAGATCTGCACATTGCTCATCCACAACCCAGTTTTCTCTATACCGACAGCAAATCAGCATTCTCAATAGCTACCAATCCCGTTCAGCATGAAAGAACGAAACACATTCAAATCGACTGTCACCTTGTTCGCGAAAAGTTACAACTGAATGTTCTCAAACTTTTTCACATCCCGTCCCGACTTCAGCTCGCAGATATCTTCACAAAGCCTCTCGGCTGCCTATCTTTCCATCACATCCTTCGCAAGATGAACCTTCTTAACATACATGTTCATCTTGAGTGGGGGTGTTGGAGTATTGCATCACACATTGACAATATGGAATTAAGAAGAAAAAGCAAAAATAGAAGAAAAGCCAGCTGGGAAGAAGAATTAGTTAAAGAGTTAATTGAATTAGGAATTTGTTATTTTCTGTTATTCAGTTCATTAATCAGTTCAATTTGCTGTTGAGTCATGTTATAAATATAGCCAGAAGTCTGCTGTAATTATAATGAAATTCTCTTCATTCGAATAAATAAGAGTTACACTTTCTCTAAGTTTTTCTTCTTCCTTTTACTACTATCTCGAGGACATGCTGGTTCCTCAACAAAAACTGAATTTTCAAGACGGACTAATAGATCTCTAAGACTGCCATGCTCTAAGTTGACACGGTTGCATTGCATAGCGAAGAAGAACCTCTAAAAATTGTGGTCCCTTCCATCGAAACCTTAGAATTCTTCCGCTTCTTCGAAGAATCAAAACTTCCAGATCCCGAATGGCAGTTCCACTAGATATCGCAGATTAGCGAACAGGAAAGGCATTTCTATCACTTTTTCCGTAATTTATTGATGGAGAAAAACCAATTTGCTGTGAGAAATTCAATTATTTCAAAGTTAGATTATTTGAAATATATTATACAAAATTATAAACAGATTGGAAATCTGCTCAAGTCAAATGTAATCATTCATTTATTTTAAGGATAAATTGTATGTTAATAAACATTTACTGATCAAATTTAACACATGTTCACTCTGCCGAGGTCCGAGGAGCAAGTCACATCATTTTTTAAAGAAAATGATTTAATGTGATTCGTATTAAAGACTATAATTTTAAAAAAAATGATGTAATATGGAGTTTAGTTATTACATATTTAATTGATTCGTTATAGTTTGGCGTATATTAACTGAAGCCTTCATTGATAGAACAAATCAGAACATGAACTGGATAGGAAAATATGTAGTGTTTTTTATAATGTAAGATTCTTGTTGTCAATTCCTTGTTCACACAAGAAATTTTTTTTCAAGTAAACTGGGGAAAGAATTTTGATAGCAACTCCATAAATTAGCACCATTTTACAATTTCAGGATTTTCAAACAAGGTTTTAACGACCATCGGAATTGTAGATAAAAATCTCAAAGATACCCAAATCACAAATTAACAAATCGAAGGTAGAGGGGTTTAGGTAGTAAGGATTTAGATAGTTTGTAAGTCGTCTCAACTCGATTTAGCATTTTTTGAATTTGGTTGTAGGGATTTAATTAAGGAATTTTATAAACGTTGTTTGGGTTTGTGAAATTGTAATAAAATCATGCTCAGCTAAGCAAAGGATACTCAAGCAACTTGGAGGCCCTGAGTGAAAAATTTTGAGGAACCTTTTCAAAATTAAAGTTTTTTTTTTTTTTTTTTATAAAACTAATATTTTGTCTTTCATAAAAAAAGAAAATGGAAAAAGAAAAGAATTACAAGTACAAAATGATCAACTCTTAGCAAGAATGCAAATATCTTATTAAAATAAAATATTTTAGAAACAAAACATACCACTAAAAATAAACAACATATAATTACAATCAACAAGGAAAAATAACTGACAATGACAACAATATTTATTGACCTCCAAATCCTATAGGGTCCAACGTCAACAAATTCTGACTCATCTCCCATCCACGTGTATGTTACCTTCACTTTTGAACATCGACATTAGACTGTATGTGATTGTAGCTCCGATGGGGTGCAACAATCGCGGAAACTCCAACGCATTAGACATTGATAAAAATATTTAGGTGTGGGAGATATACAATGAACGAAAATGTTCGTGCCAAGTTGAAGAGAGAACTATTAATCTTTAATATTCAAGACTCAAAGTGAGATTGCAATTCTAAATTTTGATTATCTTTGGATGTCACTGTGTATAAGTATTTATACAAAGAGAGATGAGTTGATTTGTGATCTCATTCTAACGACTTACTGATTGAACTCAATTATATCAATCCACGGCCATCATAGGCATGTGGCCATCCTAGCTGAAAAAGTCCAACATCGTTGTTGTAGAACTATCACATCAATCAATCAAGTGCATTGTGTGACGTGGTCGAGGAGAAGCCTGTGGAAGATGCTCGTCATTGAATATGTCATTTGCCTCGAAAATACAGCATCAAGAGGTGGTGCTTTGGACATCCCTCTAGACGAGGCGTCCAATGGCATGGCCTAGTTTCCTTGAAAGGTACATGTGGAAGAGGTGATGCCGAAGAGAAGTGCTGACCTTGTGTGACCTCTTGTTTAGCTGGCTGTCACATGACATACCTCGTAGGTCGAGGCATAGCAATAGTAGTTCTTCCTTCAAACACGAGAAATGTTTTTGCAAATGTGGCACAAAGGGATGAATGCTCTACTTTAGTGATTCAACAAAACTTGTACTGATTTTATAGTATTGAAAAGATCAAGAATACTTCTCCGCCAATAGCAATAATGTTTCACTTGTACTTGACTATTTCGAGTTTTATGTAAGATTTATTTTTCTTGTCTTTCGAGGGATCAGCTTGTTTCCTATGAACATGAGCCCAAATTTTGCTCGACTTGCAAAATGTTTGGTCACACCATTCTTGGTTGCAACTTTAAAAAATAGGTTACAGGTGATACCCAGAAAACGGGCACACATGTGGAGCAGGCAACTATTCCAATTATTATTAGCTTCGATAAAGATGGAAGGGTATGCACCAGAAAGATGAGCTAGAAGTTCCCATCGCTAAGGTTTTTAATAGAAAGAAATGTAACAATAAACCGAAGGGACAGATTGCTGGAAATTGAACACAACAGAATGGGACGTCCGATTGCAGAGAACGGCCAGATTATCATCAAACTGGAGCTGTAGATTGTGAATGCCCTAGTTTGAAGGCAGACTCTAATGAAACGCTCAAAGGGAAACTCGATGAGCAAACTACCAAAGTAACAAAATATAGAAAGAAGGGGAACTCCCTTTTTATATCCTCAAGTAGTTTGCAACGGAATTCAACACTTCATGTTTTAGAAACGAAACTTGATCAGCCATAGTCACAATGTGTTGGATTCATTTTGAATATCTTGCTTTGGATCATTCGATCTCTATAATGTTTGTTTTGTAAGACCGAGTGTTCTCGGAGTAGTTATATTCTATTTTTGATCTATACATATTTATTTACCGATAAAAAAATAATGCTAAGTGTACATTCATTAATATACACTTTGTTTGACATCACTCATGTTTTCAAAAAATTATAGGCGAGAAAAGGTTTTTATTGGAAAAAAAATGTTCAATGATGTGCTGTCACGTGGTACAATGTAAATAATGATGTACATGTAGCATGATTGCCTCAACTATATGGCTACATTACGTCATACATTCCTAAATGGCTGCAAATTAGAGTGGCCTAAAGAGAGATCGGGGTAACAAGATACAAGGTTTACGTAAAAACATATACTACAAATTTTTTGCAATTATTCGACCGTCATATTATTTTTATTCGTATTTCTTACTTAACTATCACAGTGTCTTGAAAAATTATTTACCCTATTTGCAGGTGCAGCCCTACATTCGGGAACATTAATATGATCATTCACAAAAACTATCTTGAATCTCAAATAACATTGCTTGGTTCTTCCCTAATCACTGACATTGCTCCACAGTCTTAGGGATATTGTTCGTATAAACTTGTATAATCTGTCACTACAAGTAGTTCCTTTCCGTAGGATTTTCTGTTAGTTTCCATATATTTGCTACACAACATTCATTATGTTCAAATGTGAATCTGTAGGATACCAGGCCGTATTTGTATATTACATGGCTTCATATGTGACCTAAACAGCATCAATGATCATCTCTGTAGTCTGGATTCTCTTTTAAGATGACAAAGCCCTCGAGTATGGGCGATAAAGGAACATATCTGCACACCAATATTAGAATTAGCGTGCATTCATTATATACAAGTAAGTAGCAATGGACAGAACATTTCATAGGGAATATTTCTTGCCTCTCAGTTGCAAGCTCTGCTCTTTCACCAGCTGACAGAATAACAGGAGTTGGAAGGGTGCGGAAACCAGTAATTGTCTTGGGACATCCTGCTTGACCAACTACATCAACAGCTTGACCCACACGAACAGGTACTGATAGAGGTTTTAGGTTTTCATCCACCGTCATCAACATCCTTGGCTGTAAACCCAGGCATTTTTATAGTAAAGATCATGCAGAAATAAAGAGCACGAAGGAAGTTGAAGTTTACTAAAAAAACTCCAAAGGGCGTGTTTTGCTAATACAGTGACAGAAACGAATTCGTAGTGTAGGAATAAGATTTTAGCTGCTTCTTTTTTCTTTCTTACTATCAATTATTGTCTAGTCTATTTACTGTACATGCCAAAACGGAAGATTATAGCCTGTATTGCGAGAAAAGACATTACAGAACAAACCTGTATTGCAAGAACAAGGAAGTAGAGAACACAGGGGCACTTCCACAAAATGGTATCTCCCAAATCAAGACATGCATGCAGCAAAATTACGAGTCCAGCCAATGCAGTCCTGTAGGAAGGTAGGGTCATGGAAGAAAAATTGTGGTGCTTAAAAGGTAAAAATGATGTATGAATTATTTGCCAGCATTACTGCATTAGGGCTCTATCTCAGGAAATTTTCTTTTTAATACCGACATTAGAAGACTTAACAAACATATAGTACACGTTCTTGCCCATGTTTGTCTTCCATTTTTCAAAACATTATTTTCTACAGTAATCAATCTCCACCAGATTCAAATAATAAAATATTCTACACATAAATCGATAAAGTTTCTTTCAATTTTAACCACACATTCTCCAAAAAATATTATTCATTACACAATTTTCATCACAATAATGGTAGACAAACAGGCACTAAGTGGGCCGTAGAATCCTTTAAACACAAAAAGGATTCTTCAAAACATGAACAGGTATTTCAATAAAATAGATCTTCCTCTTGAAGCACAAAGTACAGTGGCTAAGTTGGCATTCATCAGGTTTAAGGAAAAAATAAACATAAAAAACAGCAATATGGACAAGACAGATTCTTCTAAAGCAAGAAACTAACTTACGGGGATAACAAAAATCTTTCAGAATGATATGGAGAGAGTGTCAACAAGCCTTTTCCAAGATAGACAAGCCCTTGAGCAATACGCACCTGCACAAGCAACGAGGCAACTTATTTTGACCTACAAGAAATATCAGGGCATTTAGATGCCCATGAAGAATACGTATTTCTGCAAGAGAAGTAAAATCAAAACTTTACGCAGAAAAGAAGGCTGGGAAATAGGGCGTAAGAGGTTGATAGATTCCGAAGCCAGCCAGCTATTTTTGCATTGTTGGTTCCGGCACCTATCAAACCCAAAGCAATGACGGCAGCCTGCACAATTAAGAAACAAAAATAGTTATCCAAGTTTTTAGATCATGTAATTACATGATTAACAATTTCAACTGGCACAATAGCCTGTTTTAGTAACACATTACCATTGCAACTCCTGTATCTCTATCTTTGCTGAGCCTTCTTAATGTGTCTATGACTTTAACCTGTTGAGACCAGCCATCAAAAAAAAAAAAGTTATAAATTTAAATAGACTTGAAAACTTCAGGCTCACAATGAACTTCTCTGGAATACATGGGATGACATTTATCTATAAAATTTTCCCAGAAAGGCTTTCACGCCTCATGGAAACGTGGATCCGTATGACTTGGAGCAGAAACATGTTAGTCTGCACCCTCTAAAGAATGATGTGGTTATATTTCAGCGGTTCTTTTTGACTCTGTATGTCAACCAGTTAAATATTAATTTTCTCCCTTCAGCATCACCATGGAATGAGATGGATGTTGACATCTGAAGCATAGCTTACGGGGTATTCCGAGAATCCAAGGGTAGAAAACCATCTAACAACGAAACGTGGTGGTGCACAATAGGCCCAAATGGTAGTAAAGACAAAAAGGGTGCAGCAATTTGGATTTTTATCATTCCACCATATTTCCCAATCAAAAAAGCTAATTGTACAAAAAAAGTTTAACAAAAAAGTTGACAAACTCTCGCATGATTGCTAACCCCACGTGAATAAAAAATTGAAAATAAAAAGTGGGCCCCCCACATTGTGAGGGTTTGTCAACTTTTTTGTACAACTTTTTTTGTACAAGTAGCAGGGTTGTTTCCCAATTAGGTGGTTTTCT